TTAGGGACAATTTTAAAATAGCCGAAATTTGTTTTTTTCGAAATATCTAGTAAGCCTTGGAGTTTTTCAAAAATCTGAAAGGCGCATATTTATGACCCCACAAAACTGCAATTCTTTCCCCCTTTAACCGACTCTCTATCTCCAGTAGTTTCCGAGATATCCATAGAGAACATCGTAGGAAACTCACCCTGTATAATCACTTAATTTGACGCTAGATTCCATGCGGAATGGAAAAATACTTGCCTTCTGTCTTTATTCAGTACATCTTATTTTACTAAGCGTGTTTACCGTACTCTTCATACACACGAAAATCGGCACCCAAGACCAGAAATGCCGACCCTTGGTATAAATTCCCCATTGAACACCGGAAAAATGTACTGGGTGTCCTATTTAAAATAAAGGAGTAACTTGTGCTTTTAAAAGTGAATAATGTTCCATATTAATTTTGGATTTCACCCTGTATAGCTTTTCGGGTCAAATTTCAATTTGGTTTAACATACAATAGTTATTGTAATTAAATATCAGGCTATACAAGGTCAACTAAAATTTAGGTAGCTGTTATCGAAATTTAAAATTTACTCTTCATTTTCACAAAACGTGAAATATGTCTAAATCGTTAGATTTTAGGTATATACTTCTTTAATGAAACTCACTTTTATTTTTCTTAGAATCCGAATATCAATTAATATATAGTGTTCCATTAGAAAAAACACAACTTTGATGTGTAACTTTTTTTGGGGACACCCTGTATAATTCTATATATTTTTATAAAATGCTTTCAGTTAACCTACATATGCTGCCAAAATTTCATTTCGATATAAACTGCCGTTCTCCTTGGAGCTTCCGCGGCGCCGGCGTATGAGAGGCGCCACCCTGTATATTTTTAAATATGTAAAGCAATAAATCTCTCTCTCTCTCTAGATAGGTATAATAGATTAAACACCATGAATTTATTATTAATAAATTTTATTAACTATAAGAAATATACTACAGTGTATAATACAAAAAATATTGTATATGTTTATAACTGTATAAACAACGTTCTTAACTTAAACAATTAGCTAAAAATTAATACAAAAAAGATGCGATTTATATAGTGCCCGTTTTTCTGAGTGTATAAAGTTTCGTTTTTTAAACCTCTTAAATTGATGATAAAGAAACTAATAAGAGATTAACAATTTTAACAGAAATTACAATAAACAATAACTGTTGTGATATTGAGACTTCATCCATATGCAGGAATGTATGCATTGTAAAATACGAAATAAAAAAATATATATAACCACGGACATTGAATTCTATAACAAACACACAAATATATTTTAGTTTTTGGAATACAAACATTGGAAAAGGTGGCAGTTCTAAAATTGTGCTTTTTTTTAGGATTTGTTTAGTTCACTCATCGCCGTAAGTTTTGTTGCGTTTTAAAAATATTTATCTCATTTAAAATTCCTAAGAAGATAAGATATCAAGAAAAAAATCTAGTTTCTTTGGAACCAAATTCAGAATTAATTTGTTTACAACTGAAATCATTTTTTAAACGCACTGACTAAACAACCGCCGGCGGTATTGTTAGTATACACAAAAAATACCGTCATAATATAATACCGCCGGTAGAAAATTGAATTAAAATGTTATTGACGGCGGTATGCACTTAACATGACAGATAAAAGCCGTTCAACGGCGGCATACTGTATTTAAAAAAATCAAATACCGCCCAAGTGATAACATAACCAAGGTTAACTGTCGTTGATATTTGAAAATTGTAAAAAATATAAAACATTCAATTTAAAAATCAAAATATTCAAAGCAGAGTCAGATGCCTATTAATCAAACAGAGAAAAACGAAAAAAAAAAGAGTGAAAAAAAATCAAAATGATAACATAACCTTACATTTTGATTAGGCGATAAAAAAGTTTAGTGTTCGTTGTTTGCTTATTTTGCATACATGTCAAAAATGTTTATTTTTTGTATGCAATGAAATGTTTTATTTTGACAGTAGTACCTAATCGTGGAACTTACGTTGGGAAAAACAGTAACACATAAAATTTGGTAAAGTAAGGGCGGTATTTCTGATTTTTAAAAAGTATACCGCCGGTATTCTCGGCGGTATTTAGCTACAACCGCTGGGCTACAACTTCGGGCGGTATTCGGTTTAACAAATATCTAACGGCGGTCTTTCTTTCACCAATTATCTATACCGCCGGCAGTAATTTAGCCAGTTTGTTTTTTAAACATTTTATCCTTATTATTGAAAATAATCAATTAAAACTCCCTATTAACAAATACTATTTTCTTCTTAACAAGTGATGTAAAATACTTTCAGCTTAATCATAGAAGTCTTTTGTATAATTTCTTTAATATAAAATGAGCGAGAATTTAATTCCTTTGCCTCGAAAAGTACAAATATTATTTTTACACTTAAGGCTCGTACTTTATTTTTGCGTTGCCTTACGTATTATTGATATTATTACAAAATTTCATTTCGTAATATCAACCGATAAAAACTTCGCAATACTTCCTCTATATTTTTGACTTATTCGATCGGGAGAAAACACCATAAAACGCTTAATTCATAGAGTAAAACCTTTTTTTTACTCTATAATTAAGAATAAATAGATAAAATACTTTAAAACAGAATTGATAAAAATTGAAAATTCCAACGAAAAAATGGTTTACACAAAAAAACTTTTAAAGCATATAAAATAACACAACGTGGACCTGATTGGAGATGACCATCATCTTTCTAAATGCAAAAATATATACAAAGAAGTTCCAGAAAAATATGTCATTATTTTAAGGAATTTTTCTAACTACTTCACACGATATACATACAAATCTGAATAATTTTATTAGATCAGATGCCTAGTTATTTTATTTAACTCATGTTTTTTCTCATCACTAGAAACTAAGTACATACACATAAAATTCCGGAAAATAACGACATATTTTTGAACGCCCTGTATATTGTCAGTCATATCAAAAAAATCAATGTGACAATGTATATGATCAAACGTCCACATCTCTATTTAGCGATAGTTTGGATAATTACAAATATACTGTATACAAAGTGGAATTTTATAAAGCATTTCCAGTTCCTATACATTTTTTTAAAATTGTCTTTAAAATTGATCTATGTTTAGAATTTATAAATAATTAAATAAGTTAATCATCAAATCTAGAATCTATCACATGAATAAAACTTGATGCAATGATAAGAAACTTCGCGATTGAAGAAGTACTAAAATATGACCATATTTGTAACTGTTCCAAACTAGCTCTATACAAAAAAGTCATAAATATTACACATAAATACAAAAAATATAAATACGATTTTTGTTGCTTACGAAACTAAAAGTCCGACAAGAGAAAATAAGGAAAGGACAGAGGTGATAAAACGCGTAGTTGAAAAAAGACTCAACGCCTTGGACCGTATAAAATGACGCGGATACATCGGTATCATAGGACAGTGTTGTCAACATGCCATAGATTATCGTGTTTTATTCTATCACAGTTCTTTTTACATTTTACTAATTCTCTATATTTTATTTATTGAAATTTCTCTAAAAAATGCATGATGAATTTTTTAGCATTACATGACATATGTCATGTAATGCTAAAAAAATCAATATCAGATTGCTTCTGTCATTTGTATGACATAGGTCATGTAATGTCGTAGTTTAACATGACTTGCGTCACGTACTAGCATTAAAATTACCAAACGTGTGTTATGTAATGCAAAAAAAACTTATAAAATATATGGATAATTTAATAATTTTTACAAAACAAATGGAAACTGAAGGCATATGTTTCCAACGTTACATGATCAGGTCATTTAATATAGATGGATTCCACAGAACAGAGTATGTAATGCCAATGCATTACATGACGCGCATCTTTAGTAGTAGATTTCATTCAGAAAAACGAAAAACTATTTCAACATCAAATTTTTCTTAATTTCTCATATTTTTAAGGTTTTCTAGCACATATATTGTTAGGTATTCAATAAACAATGTTTTTGCTATTTTCTGTTACTTTTTTAATCAATTCTATGCATAATAGAGGAAAATTTGCTAAAATAAATTTGTAAACAATCTGAAAATGTTGGGTTATGTGTTTCTGGCATTTAAAGCAACGTTGCAAATGCTAAACCTAAATTTAGCGTGTTTTTTCGCTCATTCTGGGATTACGAAAGGCGGTCGCCAAAAGAAGGGCTCCTTCCCATAACTGCTATTTTACCAACAAGATCTGACTCTTTATAACCACGAAGTTGCACGAAAGAGTTTTGATTGCATTGGTTCAACTTCCATGCGGAAGGTGTTAATCTTCTGTTGTATTATACCAAGAAAAGATTAACACCCTCCGCATAGAAGTTGAAACCAATGTAATCAAAACTCTTCTGTGTAACTTTGTGGATATAGGTAGGTATATTTAACTATTGTCAGATCTCATAATCTGTAATTTATTTAAAATGCCTAATCCCCGAAAAAATAGAAGATAGGTACGGCAACGTTGTAAATTTTCAAATTTCTAGATTAGGTCTAGAATATATTTGTCTGTCTCATTACATAGGAGAGAGAAAGAAGGATATATGAAATGTCAAACTTCCATCTGGTCTCAATTTTCTTTGTCATTTTGTTAAGAAAAGTGTTTTTCAGTAAAATTTTGGACAGTTTTCTATCCCCAATCAAGTATGGCTTTTAGATAAATTATAATATAATGAAAATATAGTAAAATTATTACTTTATAGGGCCGAAATAAAGAAAAATTCAATGTTGAAATTATTTTCCGTTTTTCTGAAAAACGGTAAGAGACCGCCAAGAAAAAAGTTCATATTAGTAAGCTACGACCTCAAAATAGGGTGTATACCAATTTTGGTGAAAATCGGACGATTTCCAGTTTTCCCAATAATTACCAAAAGTTTTTTTGTCAAGTAATTTCCATAAAGGTAATAGTTGATTTTTGACATTACATGACGCGTCATGTAATGTCTTAAATTCTTCACAGTACGTTTCATGTAAGACATTATTTGCGTGATTCATGTCATGTAATGTCTGTGCTACCTGATGCATGTCATGTAATGCAAAAATGTAAAAGGTACAAAACTGAACATTAAAATTTAGGAAGAAATGCTCCATTTTTATCTGTTCCAGATGAAAAAATTTTCATGTTAGAGAAATGTTGACAACACGAAGTGACATTACAAATCTACTGACGTAACCGTATCCACGTCACTTAAAACGACTAACCGTCGGCGCTACGAACCGCTTCCCGATAAAACCGCACGCTGACGCCACCGCCCTCCGGCTTAGTGGTAGTGCAACTCGAGCGTGTTGCACAACCAATCGGCAGGGGGGTGGGCCAAGCCTCAGTACGCCGTGGCCTCCTTGTATTCCGAGCTCTCCATGGTGAAGAAGTCCTCCAGCTTCCACTGGAGCGTTTCGAAGGTGGGGCGGCGCATCGGGTCCCTGTTCCAGCACTCGAGCATGATGTTGTAGAGGCTCTGGGGGCAGTTGGGCGGCGCGGGCATCCGGTAGCCGTGCTCGACCTGGTGCAGGACTTCGGCGTTCGTCATGCCTGGAATTGGAGAGATAAGAGCGCTATTTAAAACGATTTGACTTTGGTATAAGTGTAGCAGGATATTATGTGTACTCTAGAATTCGTGGTGGACAGTTTTGGCAACAGGGATTATCATATAAGTAATACTCCTATAAGGCTAGTGTATAAGAATACAGGGTCGCTGTTATGTATGGAAACGGTCGATTATTAGGTAAAATATAGGAACTACCGCAAAAAGTAAAATACAAAAGTTATAGGATTTTTAAATATCTATTAGCGGGTAATAAATTTGAGTATACAGGGTCGGTAATAAAGTCGTGGCACATAAAAGTTTCATTTTTTAAATAGAACCACCTGTATATTATTACATATTTCCATTCTTCCTTCAATTCTAAGCAAAAATCGAATTACACACAATGTACCTCAAACCAACCGTTCCCGAGATATTGACTTTTGAAAATATCACTTAAACAATTTGATTTAATTAATTTCGATATGTTCAGTTTCATTTAACGATGCCATTTTGCCGAAACTGCGATACTTAATAATTGACATTCATTTTGCTGTGACTAAGATTTATTTTGACATTAGTTCTCAAGTTAGCATTTATAGATGTATAAAATGAGAGTATAACAAGTCTGAAAATTACAAAATTTTCAATTCAATTTCAACGGAAGAAACATTTCAATTCTTCAATTTATGTACATTGTGTATTATGATTATTGCTTAAAATTGAAGGAAGAACTGAAATATGCAATAATATACAGGGGATTTCATTTAAAAAAAAACTTAAGTTTGATGTGACACAACTTTATGACCGACCCGGTATACTTAAATTTACTAGTAGCTATAGTAAACGCCACGAATATTTGGGAGTGATTCATCGGTCGCTACCTTTGAATAAGAAGACTAAGGAAGGAGCATAATGCTATCCATGTATTCATGCATGGTGGGCGGAAAAGCCACCATAAAAGCTCTCTAGGGTGGGGATCCTTGACAGTTCTGTTTGACGATTCATTTGACACATTTGAATTTGATTTGAAATTTTGTGGATTTGAACTTCAGAGCAAAAATCGATTATATTTACGCGATTAAGGGATGGGGTTCCCATAAGAGACATTGCAGATGCATTCGGGATAAACAAAAAAAACAGTGTTGTTGGCTAAATCCAAAAAATCCAATATAATTCAAATATCCTTATAGACCACGAGTTCTATCTGGGACTAGTAATTCTTGTACTACTTTTTTTTTATCGCAATGGTACATTGTGTGTAATTTAATTTTTGTTTAGAATTGAAGGAAGAATTAAAATATGTAACAATATACAGGGGGTTCTATTTAAAAAATGAAACTTTGATTTAATTACCGACCCTGTATACTTAAATCTATTACTCGCTAATAGATATTTAAAAATACTATAACTTTTGTATTTAACTTTTTGCGGTACCTCCTGTATTTTACCTAATATAATCGGCCGTTTCCAGTACAGCGACCCTGTATACAGGTTGTTAACTGCACAGTTACTTATAGGGGAACAGAATGGCAACATGCACTTATAGGGTTTTCTGCCGACTCCTCCCGTCGTCGCGTCGTCTATCGACGAGAAAAAGGTGGTTGAAATTCGAAAAACCATAAAGCTGTTTAAGAGTAATAAACAAATTAACAACCTGTATAAGTTAATTCGTTTGTCTGCCGTGAATGGCGTTGCTAAGAGAGACACTGGGTGCATTCGTTTCAACGAAACGTCAAATTTGTTAATTCTACCAATACGAGGTAAATGACTAAATTTTCTAAAATTATAAAATGGTGTTGCTCCAGAACATCTTGTTACGGATTCCGTGGGTCTACTAATTTAAACTCACGATAAAGTACTTAACGAATTTATTTTTTCTCTTAATTTACACACAATTTTTGTTTTTGATTGAAAATGGCTCAACAAGCTGCAGGTATGTATTCTACAAAAACGTATTATTTATTTTGATATTCTCTATACTAACGACTTTTTTTGCAACTAAAAGTTAGGCGTTTAGAAAATTTGATTAAATTTGTGACATTTTTATTATACTTAGAGATTTAGTTGTGCATTTCGAAGAATCCAGCATATTGTCTATATACGTTTTACTTAGTAAACATTGGGCTTTCATACAGTAAAATAAAATACTGCGACTTTTTGCGACTTTGCAAATGAGAAAAACATTCTTGGTTTCCTCTAATTTGCCAATCAGTGATATACTAATGCGAGGTGTAAACCGCGATGGCATTGTTGTGTACAAAGTGATCGCATTAGTGCCATTAGGAGTATAGCACAATTTGGCATTAGTAGCGACTTTAGTGGTATGGGCATTGCTCGCGGATCAGTCGTAGCATTAGTAGTATTAGTTGCGAATTACTACTGGCATTAGTGGCATTGACCGTGGAAACACTGGAACAGCGATTTTTCTTTCTTTATTTAGAATCGACGAATTATCCTTTATTTTGTTCATATTATTTCCTCTTTAATTGAAAATAGCAATAATTTATATAAGGTCTACATAAAAAAATTTCGATCAACTATCTGTGTCAAATACCCCACTGTGTGTCGTCGCGTCGTCTATCGACGAGCGGACCGAGGTTGCCGTATTTCAACCATAAAGCTCTTGCCGTGAGTAATAAACAAATTAACAACCTGTATAAGACAATTCGTTTGCCAAGACCGTGAAATAGAGCAAGAGAGACACTGGGTGCATTCGGGAGACGTAGCGGTATTTTGAATTTACCAATACGTTCTCTGACCACGATTTCTCGTTTACAAAAATGGTAACTGCTCCAGAACATATTGTTACGGATTCCGTGGGTCTACTAATTTAAACTCACGATAAAATACTTAACGAATTTATTTTTCTCTTAATTTACACACAATTAACTACTTATAAATATCCTTCGCCAAATTGTCCGATTCGCAATTTTTAAACGCGGTATATTCAAACTTCAAACTGTCCCAATTGCCTATTACGCGGGCTTATATACTCTACTGACTGTTTCTCGAACCTTCTAAGATTCTCCGAGAGCGTTCTACTTCCTACTGGAAAATTCCACCGCTGCTCGATTCGCTTTTGCACTTAGCTAAGAGATGGCGCTTCAACAAAAACGTCCTTTCACTTTTTGGTGAATTCGCCATGTTTCTTGACACGTAGGCAACCAGCAATACAGTTTAGCGCCACATACACCTTAACAATATTCACAAGGTAGCAGTGTCGAAACAAAGGTCAGAACGTATCCTGGTATCGTGCAACAGACGTTTTGAGAACTGTGACGGAACTGTTATGTCTTCCGAATGCAACCATTATATTATAGCATTATACTATTGAGCGTTTTTATCGCTGTATTAATCACATCGATATTTCGCCAGTAATGTTCAAGTTTTTTAACATTTGTGTATAGTAGTAAGACCTGAGTATATAAATAACTGAATAAAGCATTGTTTATAGCATTACGCATGTTGCTGTCACACTCTGTTGGCAGATGCTTAGTCATTATTAGCCCTTTAGGAGTATTGCTTACATGAGAATTATTGTACAACAATGGAACTTACCTGGATATGGAATTCTGCCATGCGTTACCAGTTCTGTTAGTAAAATACCGAACGACCAAACGTCGGATTTAATCGAGAATTTGCTGTAATTGGCCGCCTCTGGAGCCGTCCATTTTATGGGGAATCTCGCACCGACCCTAGCTTCGTATT